GAAATAAATCGGCAGTGGAAATTTCAAGTGGTCGCGTAGTTTCACTTATATTAGGTTTGTCCATAAATTCGTGCGGTTTTTCCTAGTTTTTGTTCTCTTGACTCAGATGATATGAAATCCATAAACCAAGTTTTTGCACATTTCCCATTATATTTAAATGGCAGAACGCTGTTTTCCTCCCACTTCATTTAAATTTATCTTTTATCTACGTAACTTTATTCGAAACAAATTTCGGTTAACTCAGAATGTCTAGGAAATGTTCTAGTTTTTTTTTTTTAGCGTGAAAAACATTTTCCATTTTTTGGTCATTTTCAACTATACCCGTAGCCTTAACTACACCCCAGTTTACTTTTAGAAATTTTTAGACCGACTAACTGTGAAATATTCAAGCAAGCACTACTGTACTTTGCTTGTCATTTTTTCTCGCTCGCTCTCTGTTTCTCTTATACACGTACAATAATATTGAAACAAATAATAACAAATTCGAAAAATATTGATCGTTGGTGCTCACAAGTCACATGAATGTTTTTCGAAGACGTAATACAATTGCTTTTATTTACATCTTCGTCATTGCTACAGGAAACCAATATTCAGAAAAATGATCTGATATGTTTATATTAGGTGTGTGAGAAAAGTAATAAGACATACTATTTTACAAAACATGTATTTAATCAATTGTAAAAAAGAATACAGTTCTCTTTAAAATAATATTCTTCGACCAAAGCATTTGTACCAACAAGTTAATCTTTCCTGCCAGGATCGGAAGTGAATTTCTGAGGCTCTTCAGAGCGTCGATCACAGATATCGTATGTTGCTAATAGTTTTAAAATGAAGTAACGTCTCGTGCCATCGAAACACTTGAGCGCGAGATAAAGAATTGTTAATATGTGAACTTTTAATTTTTCCGTAGTAAGTATTGGCAGTTTATCTCTTTTACGTGAAACTTGCAAGCAAATATTCCGAAGAGACCATCGCCGACTTTTATAAAACTTTGCAGTAAAGTAGATCTCAAAAAATATTCGATACGTATTCTGTTTTATCGGCAATCGGCAATCGTTAGAGGGGTGAAAAGTACTGACGCTTTGGTAAACTTATTTTATTTAATATCAGACGAAAAATTGATGTAACTCGACAAACAGATTTGAAAAAAGTTCATCTGTTTATATTTATAATACTATTACACTCGTAGTTTTCATTCGCAGACATATTCTTCCAAAATACAGCAGCAGAACACCACTTATCAGACGGTTTATAATTTACAGAAATCTGCAAGATAGTACACAACTTCAAAAATCTTTCTTACTCACACTGAAAGTTCAACGAAGACTCTGTTGATAAATTAATACTTCCGGTCGCCAAAGACTGGTAGTCTTGTTTCTTTTCGATCCGGGCTAAATTTAGTGATAACTGCTACGTGTTTGTAGCAAGTCATTAAAAAATACCAACTTTTTTTAATTTTTCTTGTAAAACGTTTATCCATTCTTGCAAAAAGGATTGAGAGATCTAGAAATCGAAAGATAGGGAATAGTGATTCACCAACTGCGTCAACAAGATGGAGGGTATATAACAGGGGTGGTCATAGCGCGACTCGCGAGGATTTTCGTGCAATTCATTTGCGCATCGCACATCATTTCGCATAGGATCACCGCACGCCACTGTACGTTTGTGTTAGTTCTCGGGCTTCGTTAAAGGGCGATGTTCCTGGGTATATGTACTTCCCGAATCGATGGATAACACGTGGTAGGCCAATTTCGTGGCCAGCTCATTCACTCGACATAACATTGCTTCATTTCTTTCTTCGGAGAACGTTACAACATATTGTGTACCAAGAAAAGTCGACAACGCCGGAAGATACGAAGCAAAGTACCATTGCAGCATGCGATAATCTGAAAGTGATAAGAAGTGTACGAACTTCAGCAATCCGAATCCAATATTGTGCCGATACAAAATGGACGCCACTTTCAGCACCGTTTATGATATAAAACTCGTTTTACTGCTTTATTATTGTCGAATGATCTTGTACTAGAAGTTGTTGAAATCGTCTAAACATCCGCTATTCAACTAGAAATAAAAAAGTATTTAACAGAACTATTTAAATAAATGGAGGTGACCTTGAAATATTTGAAAACCCTCCACCTATAAAACAAAATTATTACTGGTATGTTACGGGCCCCTCGGTATCATATAACTCCTGTAAACAATGTTTTCTCATGTCTACAAAAATAACGGAGATATTCCAGATGAACAGAGTTATTGATCCACCCTGTATACATTTTTTCTGAGAGTTAAATGTTGGGAAAAATTTGGACTAGTTGTTATGGTTGTAACGGGCGTGCTAGACATATATTATTTGCTTCACCTACAACGTTTGTCACTCTATAAAAACTGTATTGCCATAGACGAGGGACAGAATAGACCTGTCCACCTTATGGAATTTCGCGTCTCGCGTTCTGAAATACCGATCGTGCAAACAATCAGAGGTTATGTTACTCCCTCTACGATTTAGAGCGGTGAGCTTAGGAATTATGTGAAAATATCCTCTTTTATTTTATCCGTATATAAAGATACACAAATTGGATCGCGTGGTTAGAACTTTGGACGATCATTTAACAATACAAGACGCGCGTGGGATAAATCATCCACTAACAGAAAATTACGTTCTCGTACTTTTTGTTGCAGTATAACAAGAGTATTCTCAATTAGTGAGATTTTGTCGATGACAATGAGTGTAAATGCGACTTTATTAAAAATGCTTTCAGTTTGGTCGTAATACCATTTTAAACTGTATTATTTATATGATATAATCCGCAGAATACTGGTGATTTCATAAAGATGTAATGAAAACTATGAACATCTGTTACTGAGTTGTTATACGAGCCACTCGGGAGCCAAAGTGAAGCTAACTCCGTCAAATTAAATATATGAAATTTTTTTTATTTATGAAGAATTAAGGACTAAGCATGTCTTTTGATACTACAATTAGAAGAATATCAAAATGTGAAGTTAATCATTTTGGCTTGTCAGTGGCTCATACGAGTCCTGAATTTTGCTTATTTCTGTCTCGCTCACTTTCGGCATAATATGATCACCTTTGTCATATAGAACGACAAAAAGAAGCAAATTGGACGCACGCATATCTAAGATTTCCTAATATTGAACGTAGCCAAAATGTATCCTAGAACGGTTTTACCGTCCACATGAAAACTGCTAATGTAAAAACATTTTACTCAAATTTGGAAGCACTGCTTTACATAACTTAATTTGGTAGTCGAGATAAGAAGAGTCGAGAACGCAAGAAGAAATATAAAAAATGTAATGTCTATTTAGCGTTAATAATAAGGTTTTCATTGGATTTACAAGATTTTAGAGATTATATATTTATCTTTTTACAGAATAATACATAAGAAAAAAACAAAATACAAATTTTCTTCTTTTCAAAGATATATCTTCCTTTTGTTCATTTCCTTCGAATTTTGTTCCTAACGTGTTTGAACATAAAATTCCTGCTTAAAATCCTAAATTGATTCCTAAAATAATCCAATTTTTGTCGTTTAAAGAATAACACATACATATATCTACTCATACATTTTTAATTGTATTTAGTACATTTATAAAACGGTGGTCATTCTCACCATGTTTATGTTACCTTACTAAAGTGGTCCCTTACAATTACACATATGGCCAATGGTCGATTGTGTTTGTCTCCCCCTCGTCGAACAGCATTAGGAAAGGATGTACACATGGTGTTGAAGAAAGTTGGGGCCAAACTTCATAAGCATGCAGTGCTCATCGAAACAAATAAAAAAGTCCTAATGTCGACATGGGTCGAAAAATTAATATTTTCAAATTGCCGTTCCAGACGGAACACTTGTAACTTCAAAAGTTCTTCCCATTTCAGGCTCGATAGGTACAGGAGAAAACCTAACCTAATCTTTTCAAAACTACCATATTTTTTCAAATATGGAAAACATTCGGTTCAATCTGTAAAACGTTTGGAACAACTTTCAAACAATCGTATTTTTACTAAACAATAACATTTTGCGACTGTGAATTCGCCCAGTGTATCGCAGTCCCTGCTGTTGCGATCTGCACTGCGAGATTTCCATACCTGAGGTATTAATTTTGTTCGTTTCGAAAATAAATAATAGTACGAAACACAGTGCAATTGGAAAAATTATACATTTACATTTTCTTTATATAGACATGCTACTACGCCTCAATATCACACAAAATATAAGTAAACCTCAAGTACAATTCTTTTTTTTAATTTACAAAATATCAAAATTCTGATCTATCCGTATTTTGTATTTAATTTGAAATTCACTTATGCACATTTATCCGAAAATGGTTAACATTCTACAAAAAGAAATTATTTATCGTTTAAACAAATGGACCTTTTTCAAATCTACTTGGGCAGTTAAAAATCCTTGTTTGGAAATACATCTCCTCGTTTAGACCATTCTTCTATCTCTTAATACTCTCTGAGATATTAATCAAAATATGTTTACCACTTTGCGGGTAATTTCCACTTCTTCAGGATTGCGGATAAAAATAAGTACGCGTCGAATATTTTTTTTTTTTTTGTTTTTTGAGAACTACTTTACCACAAAGTTTCATCAAAATCGGCGATTTTGATCACTTCGAGATGTCGCTTGATCACTTCAAGATGTTGTCTTGTTAGTCGCACGATGTTGTTTGACATTTCTTTCTCCTATTTATGCGGCATATCGTCAAAACATGCATTGACACAGAATGTTGTGAAATCACTCGTGATCAAACGATTTAGAACTTATTTTAACTGTCGGGAGACAGAAAAAATGTAGCTACTTGCTGGTTGCACTTCTATTCTATTGTTTCATTGCTGTTAGCTCTCAGGGAAAATTGTTTCATTGCTTTTCTAACACACCTTGCATAATATCACACATTGTAATGTGTTAAATAATGTTTATATTTCTAACGACTTTTAATAAAGATACTTAATACATTGTACACGTAGTTACCGATAATACTGATCAAGCTGTGCCTTCTCGATTCTTTTATCTTTGGCGCGTCGATTCTGAAACCAAATTTTGATCTGCGTTTCTGTAAGATGTAAAGATGTAGCAAGTTCAAATCTTCGTCCTCTAGATATATATTCCCCTCTACGATATTCAACTTCCAGTCTTAACGTTTGTTCACCGCTGAAAGTTGTTCTTTGCCTTCGTGGTCGTCCTTCTTTCCTTCTTTTACGAGCTACTGTTCAATGTAAAGAAGAATATCTTAAAAACAGTACTTCTTATATTTTAGATTGGTAAGGAGGTAATGTCGGTTATGTAAACGTAAAAAAAATTTACTACAATGTTGGTAATTTGTGTAATTAATTATACAATTCCTACTATTTTCTATGACACTATTCCACCATATCGAGGACTTAGTGTCATTTTTAGAAAAAGATGTCTGTTTTAATTAACAAGGTCTCAAATGTTAATGCTTGTGTCTACAAATGTGCTTGTTTTTTTGTTTATTTTATTCATTTTGTAAAGACTGAAAGAGATAATAGACGCTATATTGTGATGTTTGAAGTATACGTAGGATGAAAGAAAATTTTTACATCTCATGTTCTGTTGATGAAATGACACCTAAACTTCTGTTTATAAATTCTTGTTAGACAAGAACAAGATATATCGATTGAACATTAACACAGTTTTTTCGCTAAGTCCAGTAATCTGTGAGAAATTTCAATTTTAAGAGAGGTTCGCTTGTTTTAACTACCCTATGCAGGGTATTTGGCCACGTCTGGGAGAAGGTTTAAGGGATGATTCTAGCAGCCGAAATAAAACGAAAATCAGGAATAAAAAAATTGCGCTTGAGGCTTCGCTTTTCAATTATTAACGTTTAAAAATACCCCTATAGACCAGTGAACCTCCTTACATTAACGAATGTAGAGCACGTCGGGGGGTTGCTATACTGCAGGGATATTTTTAAACATTGATAACTGAAAAGCAGAACCTTTAACGCAACAATTTTATTCTTGATTTTTGTCTTATTTGGGCTTCTAGAACCACCCTTTAAATTTTCTCCCAGGATTGGCCGAACACCCTGCATATTCAGTTTTAAAATTATTTTAAGTTTATACAAAAGGTTTTAAAGAGTTGCATGTTATGTCTTCAGTTTTTCTGTTATTTCTAGGGATATTTGCCGCTTACTTGAAGTCATAATAATTTTCAAAATATTATCGTCAATCAATGTCGACCTGCTACATCGTAATTTATTTTTAAGGTTAATTAAACCATTATAAAACTTAAATTAATGACACCTGTGTGTATTGGGTTGTCCAGAAAGTTCGTAGCGCAATATAAACCATCGTATCTCTGTTTCTAATTGACATAGCAACAAAAGTTAAACGGTATTTTCCTCGACAGTTAAAGGTGAATCCAACGCACTGCTCAAATTATTCATAAGATGAACAGGGATAGATATAAGTCGAACTATGTCCGCTGCAGTGGAGCGAGGATGTTGAATTTTTCGTGGCAACGCTCCACCGCAGAAAATATAGTTCGCTTTAGGAGTAATTTTAGGGGTACATCGGATTTATCTTCAAATACCTTTTGGTTTTTGTCGCTGTCTCAATTAGAAACAGAGATACGTCAGTTTGAATTTTTCTTACATTTCGCTACGAACTTTCCGGACGACCCAATCCTTACGAAGGGCACAACTTAATTATCGATTGTCGATTTTATCGAAATTGTATGAATGTAGTACTCAAAAGAATATTTGACATTCCATATCTAGGGGGCAAGAAACATGTTTCCTTCAGTACCTCTAAACTTATTTGGTGCAGAGATATGGTTTACCTAGCAAAGTTTTATGTTTTTAAACGAAGAATTTACCTACATCAATAGCTTTCAGAAAAATCTACTTGTTTAAAAAAATATATTAAAAATTTACTACCTTTTATACATTTGTATAACAAATTGTGGCTCCATTTTTGTGTAAATTTGCAAACATGAGCTATAAGAAAAAGCGAAATATACAAACAAATCGAAATTTTTTATCTGAATCTTTTCAGGAAATGACAGTTTTCCACGTCAAAATGCACAGAATTGCAGTCATAGTTACCGATACATTTAAATTATTTAAAATTTTAGTTTTCTAGCTCGAACGGTTTTCGAGATATTCAATGTTAAAATTTCGAAAGACTGAACAAAATGAGTCTACATGGCACCATTTCAGTACTAATATTTCGGTTCTACTTAAAGGCAATATCTTATTCTTGCACTCGTTTTAAAACTCAAGAAATGCTCTTTTCACATATTACACGTACAATTTTATTTATTAATAACAATGTTAAAGTTTCAAATTCCGATTTGACGCTATTCCCGCGTTCGAATCAATCGCGAACTTTGTCCTGTGAAATGTTTTCAATCATAAGCACGCTACTCATTGTCAGTGTCGTAGAGGCAAATAGTTGCTCCGCGTTCACGAAAGAAAGCCTTTGTACCGAAGTGACTCAAAGTTATAACTGGAGTCCAAAAAATAATTAAGTGAAAATATCTTTCAACATTCATCAAGTTTAGTTTCAAGTGATTTACAATAAAAAAATATTCTAGCCCTGGAAAGAGATGTTTCTGCTATCTGTTCTAAATTGTTCGTGGATAACACTATCGCTTCACTTTCTTCTATATTTTTCTAAAAATATTGAAATAAATAATTTCAATTTAACTGAATTTTTCGTTTGCTTATAGCTCATGTATGCAGATTTACACAAAAACGGAACCACAACCTGTTACAAAAATGTATAGATAATGGTAAATTTAATATATATTATTTAAACAAGTAGACTGTTCCGAAAGTTATTTACATAGCCGAATTCCTCGTTCCAAAATGTGTAATTCTGCTATTAACCATTTCTCCCCTCCCAATAATTTTTGATATATTGAAGGGTCACTGCTTTAAGGGTCTAGGGCTATTACTTTTAACCGGGTATTCGAGTACCCATGAGATACCCGGATAGATGAAAATAACCCGATCGACCCGGGTATCTGACGAGTACTCGAATATGTACATAAGACAGACGAAATCTCGGTGGTCGCCATCGCTGGCGTTGTCGGCAATTACTATTGCAAGAAATGGAAACAAACAATTGTAGGGCGGCTAGGAAAATGACGTACAACAATTAATTACTTCATTGTATTCTTATTTGTTGCAAAAACTTAAATTATATTGTAGATATGCAAGTAATATTAGTAGAGTACTCAAGTAAAGCATACCGAGTATCTACTGTCCGACAAACCTAAAGTGAAGCCTCTGACGTCACACAGGGCCTAAAAGTGGGATATCCCAATAGGGATAGAATAAGGCTATCGCAGTTACTCTTAGTCCTTCCCTTATTTATTTTATTTTAATTATTCTAAACATTTGAGGCACTCCAGTCACTGATGACCACCATGGCCATATCGAGGAAACTAATGTTAATACTTATTGAGTGATTAATTTAATTTCATAATATATCGCTTTAGCGAGCCACCGTTTGGTTGCCAATTGTTTATCACATAGAGTCGGCCTACCTCCACGTAAAA